TAGATGCCTTGTCATCTTTTGCTGCAGACGAGTGTGTGTGCTCTTCCTCTGTGCGTGTGTCATACGAGGATGTGAATACATTCACCCCCCTCCACCCCCACTTTAGAACAAACCCAGCCTCCCTCCCTCCCCTTTTCACCACACAATATCCTTTTTTTTGTTGTTGTTTTTTTTTTGGTGCTGCGTTTTCGAGCAGTTTGTTGACTGTTGATTGTAAGTGCCCGAATTTAGGAAGGCAGCCATTTCTAATCACGAGAATTACACTGCTTAGCGACCGGAAAATCAAGTTAAACAATAGCATTGCTTATTCTTGGTCACAGACTGCGGCTCTGAGAACACATCAGTCTCCACTGAAGCTGTTCCACGCTCCTCCCAGCACACACACACACACACGCATTTACACACAAGCAGCCATTCACAGACAATATGCAAATGCTAATTTACTTTTTGACTTGTGTTACAGCATTAGCTCCACATTTAGTTTGATCACAGAGTGTACAACTTGGAGGAAAAAAAAGGAAGCGCTTTTTTTTTTTTGTAACATTTATGCAGTACAAAAAAAAAAGATGCTTGAAATGAAAAATTCCTTTGAGGGTTCCTGTAGCATATGAAGCTATTAAGAGCTGCGTAAATGGTATCTATTTCATTACAGTGATCAAGGATTAAATTAGTGGCTTGAGCCCTGTAACATATACACTAAGTCTCCTCCAAGGCTGAGGGAGCCCTCTGCTTCCCAAAGGTCATTAGAGCTGAGGAGAGAGGATGGCCCCCAGTCTCCCTTTGCCTCTCTCCACTACCTCCTCCTCCTTCTCTTTCTCGTTTCTCTCTCTCAACCTTCCCGACCTATCCTCCAAGATGAGACACAGTCGTGTTTTTATGTTTTCGCACACGGTTGTCGTTTCCTTTTTCTCCAGCTGTGGAGGGTTAGGATCACAGGAATCTAAACCTGCTTGGCAAAGTGTATTCCTGTATTTCCTCCCACGCAAAAGTTTGCATGTGTGTGTGCGTGTTCACCCGGAAGTGAGGAAGGCCCAGTATCAGTTTTGGCACAAAGGGCCAGTCACGAGGAGGAGCAGAGCTGGCAGAGGTTGAGCTGTGTGGCCCTGTTGGATTTTAGGGCTGCATTATGCATTCATGTTTAGTCTCAGGTGCTACGTTTTATCCCCAGGCCAGCTTGGACACATTTTCAATGGACTGTTTGGATGAAAAACTGTATAGGTGGGAGCAAAAATGATTTCCATGCTTATAGAGATCTGCCGCTTTGTTCTGTCAGATTCAATTACCTCACCTCTAATTAGGGAGCTATAGAGGAGGCTGGGTTTGTGATCCACACATCACACTGTGGAGCCTGCTGATAATGTGAGGTATCGCTATCACAGCCCGGCCACAAGCTCCCCACATTGCGGATGCTTGAAAAAGCATGCCATGAAATTAGCAGTCACTCATACAGTTTTGCACATACACACATATTTCTTCAGAGCTCCTCTTTTTCTTCGTCTTCCTTTTTTTTTTGAGTGTGAGCTTTGGAACAAGGTTGGCACATGTGTGTGTGTTTTTTCTTTCCTATTTTCTGTTTTAGTCCACTGAGGCACAGACTTGAGTACAGAGCATATTTTCCTGAAAGATATGCTCATTCCACCACCTCAGTCCGTACTCCTCTGTTCCCCTCTTCCTCTGTGACTCATTAATCCTCTGTCCATCATATGGTCTCAGAGTATCACCCCATTTTATAGACTCAGTGGGGGCATTACCATATCCCTCTTCGGAGCTCCACTCCGCATGGCCGATCCCTATCAGACAGAGGCCACGCCATGAACAAAAGAGCCACTGTGATCAAGCCTGCATTCAGCTACCAATGTCTCTATTAGCATTGGCTGCTCCTGCTGCATGACTGTTTGAACAGAGCTGAGATTTCTTTCGGTCTCTCTCGGCAGAAGAAGAGTCTTGATGAATGCGGATGATACAGTCGAGGCTGGAGGGTGCGCATGTGTCAGGGCGGATGTGAAGGGTGCTGGGATACCTGGACACTGACCCTGATTGAGAGGAAGTTGAGACAAAGTGCAGCCTCCTGAAAGATCCTGTTAAAAGTGAGCAGATAGCAGCGTTTGTGCTACGATTATCTCACGATCCAAGCCTTTTGTCTGCAAACTTGAAAGTGTGCTCTGAAAGGCTGCCACACTTCAGGTTACAGATAATTAGCGCAGGGCTTCAGCTGCTAATTATTTTAACGATCATTTTTAATGATAAACTAATTAACTGTTGAGTCGAGTGGTTCTCAACCTGTTAGGAAGCCTTCCTGTAACCCGTCGCCACGTGTCAAATATTTACAGAGGAACAAACCTGTGACTTCATATCTTTAAATGACATGTTTTGTCTTAAATGTGCAACTTAAAATGATATAAAACAGAGAAAGGAAGAAAATGGGGTGATATTTTCTGATTGATCACTCTTTAAAATTAAGCTGCTTCGCTAATTACGTCAACCGGTAGATGATTTTGTCGTTGGGTAAAGATCGCTTGTTACTATAAAGTTAACATGCATCTCTAGCAGGCTTAGATCAGCCGTAATGAGCGCACCACTTAAAGCCGGCTGTGTTGTTTTCTGCGGCAAAGTGAAGCGCAGACACTTTCTCCGCGGTGTCATTGGCCATCTGAACTCCAGAGGAGGCTCGATAAGAGGGCGAAGCAGCCGACATTCCTCTGGCCCAGTTCGTCAGCAGAGCCTATAGAAATGCACCAACAAGCGCGGGTCACACAGCGAATGTGACAGGATTTTAAACAGTACACAACTAAATATAGCAGGAACGCCACTATCAGAAAATGAGTTAGGAGTGTGCTGCTGGTCGTTTAGAAAGTCATTATTCTTATCATTGCTGTCTCTGAAATAATTTCAGGTCTCTCCATGCAATGAATACTGTATAATAAACTAAACACGTGAGAATGCGAGCAAACTTTGGTCAATCTGCGTGGTCCCAAAAGAAGTAGCCATCGGACCCCCTTTAATGTCTCAGGCTGGGTGTAATATTTCATTTTTCCATATTCAGCAAGGCCTCCAGTATCTCTATCAGTTTGAAAATGCTCCATTTAGTTACTATCTGTTGGAGTGGGGAAGTGAGATGCCCTTATTCTGAGTCTATTAAACCTCAATTCTATCTCATCTTATCTACCTAATCTTTGTGTTTTATTGACCATGAAGTTTATCTTTAATCTCCCTTTACCCTTATTATCACACAACACTGTAGGTCTATTTTCCGCGGTGCAATGGCGCTGCTGTATTTGCCAGCAACAGAGGAAGAATCGTTTAGTTGTACACACAGTTCTTATTCAGCTGTGTAATGGAATGTGTACACACTGTGTGTATAGAAATGTATTTCCCCGCTTTCTTTCACACTGTCTTCAATTGCCTTGGCAGGAGCTTTTACCGCCAGTCATACAATCTCCCCTTGATACGGCGATATTTATCTCTCAGTATCATCTTAAGTGATGGTAGACTCATCGAGTCACTTCACGCCTCACTTCACTCCTCAGCGAATCAGCAGAAGGCATCAGATAAGATCATAAAACTGTATCCTAATTTAAAAGCGGCACTCTGCCTCTGCAGTGTCTATTAGAGATCCGCGTGCTAATTCTTTTCATGTCCGGGGCTCCTGCAGATGTTGGCTTCTACAAAGGAGTAATTTATAAGACTAATGAAAAGAGCAAGCAGTTTGTGGACATCAGGGGGGTCTTTTATGAGACTCGTCGCAAGAAGAAAGAGAAACAGGAGAGGCACACCAGCCCCACTTTCTGAAGTGAAATTATTGCTTTATTAAAGCTGAGGGGGCTCGCTCCCGCTACAATAGAACAAACAGACTGAAAGGTGTGGAGAGGATGTAAGTGCGCTCTGTTTGAGCTCTAGGTGGATGCACGAGAGGCAGAAACAGAGACAGCATCCTCATCTAGCTGGCAGTGACAGCAGCACTTTCGACATGATTGTTCACTTTATACACGACTCGAGAAGGAGCAAGGAGTGTTTTTTGGGGGTTTTTCATGGGGCTTATGCAGGTTTTTCTCAGAGTGCATCATCTCAAATATTAAACTAAACTTAAACCAGAAGGGCTCCCCCAGTCTTTTTCGCTTTTGGTATGTCATGCGGGGACTTTGCGGGCATGTTTTGGCAGAAAAAGGAGAGAGGTGTGCGCGATGCGTATTATCTTAATAACATTCAAATGCCGGGTGAGATGTTTTCAGAACTAATACAATTCAGGTGGCAGTACAGTAATTCCATCAACACCCTTGATTGAAGCAAAATGGTAATATGCAAATACCAAAAGAGATGTACAGCTACAAGCAAAAAAAAAAAAACCTGAAATCATTTAGATTTAAAGAAATAATATTGCACAGAGGGGGGAAAAAAATTAATCACACGGAAAAGTGTCTCCTTTAAGATTGCACTGGTGTATTACCCGGAGGCATGGAATGTAAATGGAAAATCAACATTGTACCCTGTGATAAGGCTAACAAATTAATAAAAGTATTTTCTTTCCTCCTCCCATGCCGATGCCTGTGTGAAAAGTCTGGAAAGGAACTTTTTTTTCTTGCCCCCCTTCTCTCCTTCCCTCTCTCCATCTGTGTGAGGTTTTGTTTTGCAGGTAGCGGGATTAACATCAGCGCTCACCTTGGCTGCATGTCAGCTTGTTTTTCTGGAAAAAAAAGGTCTCAAGGGGATTTTTTTCAATAGGAATAATGGAAACACTGATGTGAAGCACGGTGGTAAAATAATAGTGTTTATTGGGGTGGCTTTATCTTTAGCCTGTACGAATCTCTGAACGTGTATGCATACGGCGCTTAGACCACGCAATGTTGCGCAGCGCTTTGAATTTGTATTATTGCAGCACCGGAAACAAGGAGAGACAAGATTTTGATTCTTGAAAGCCTGAAGGGTGTGATGAAATTGCTGAACATCTCCCTTGTGTGTCTGTGTGTGTGTCTGTGTGTACATATGTGTGCCTGTTCCCTCAGGTCCTCTGGAGGATGGCCTGGAGGAAGAGGAGGAGGAGTGCGTCTCCGAGGAGAATGAGCTCCTGGCCAAAGATGAGTTTTCGGTGGAGGAGAACTTCACCGCCGAGTTTGAGACTGAGAACATAAGCTGCGAAGACATGGAGTACTTCTGCAACAAAGGTGAGCGTCCCGCACTCGGCCAAAACGAAACTTCACAGGCGGGCTTCCTCATGCAGCGTTCAGCCATCTTTTCCTTTTTTTAAACGCCTAATATGGGACAATATGCTGTGCCCGCCCCAATGCTGAGCATCAAAAAGTAAGTTAAACTCCTGCCAATTGTGTCTAATAAAATTCCTCAACATGTTCAAATCAAACCTGGCAGAACTTGTGTCCGTCTGAGAATTTCTCCCGCATCACTGCCTGGAGTTGAGACTATCCATTTTTGATATTTGATCCCCAGCAATCCACCCAAGAGCAGTGGTTTGATCTGAGATGGAGATGGCACCAGCAACACTGGCGCTCCCTCTGTGATAGTGCTGTGAAGGTGTGCTACGGTGCACCAATGCACTGGAGAGCGTAGCGCTTCCCTTTGAGCCGGCGCTAAAGCTCTGTGAACACTCAGCAGCACCTGCTACTGCTCGGAGGTCCAGCACTATAAAGCGCCTCAGCGTCGCCAAATGCACCCGAGTCCTCTTTGAACTCCAATTCAATTAGACTGCTTCTTTGTGTGTTTGTTTCATTTCGGTCACACCGTGCCATCACAGGAGCTAATTTGTGGCCTGCTTCAGGTTACGGTGTGAAGATGACAGACCTGTCCCGCTTCCCCCCAACCACCGCAACCCAGCCCAGAACCTCCACCCCCAACCCCACCGCCGCCGCCTCTTCCTAGCCTCCGGTTGCGTGGCGTTCGCTACCCCAGGTGTCCCCGCTCTTACTGACGCTCGGATGCCGCAAATTTGACTTTTTAATGAAGAACCGATGCTTTGAATGTCTGCCTCCTTGCCCTCCTTTCAAAGGGAAATTTGTTTAGAATTATTTCTCCACACTTCTAAACTGATGTGCCTCGTGGGATTACATTATTGAAGGAAAAAAAATAAATCTTTCATGTTTCAGGTAGGCTATGCCCCGGTAATCGTATCAATAATGTTTTCCTTTTGTTCTCCGGGAAAAGTTGAACGGCGCAATTGTTCAGAAATTGCAATTACCAGAGACGCCTCGGCCGCTTCACCCTTTGTCTCCTCCGTAATGTGTCCCCACTCAAACTTCAAAGTGCGAGGCATATACTTCTAATAACCCAGCAGCTATGAAATAGATGGCGCGTATTGGTGGTTACAAGAAAAAAAAAAAGTAGTACAACTTCTGAAAATTTTCAAAGAACCTTGTCAGTGCCATTTGGTATTCCCTTTGTTTAAGGAGCCGGGGCTCAAATCTCCTTTCCCTGTTTATGAATAAAGACAACACAAAATACCAATCCATAATGTCAAATAGTACTTTCCCTGAGCACTTCTAATCTGTTCCTTGTCATGCACGAGCCTTACTAGTCCGATTTTTTTTGTATGACTTTGCTATCTCAGCTTACAGTAGCTAAGTCTCCCATTGCCTCATAAGACCCAAATGATGTACTATCCAAATTTCTTTTCTCCTAGTGCCAAGTTGTGTGCAATCATCAGGTGTAGCCACTTTCCCATGATCCCTTCCTCAATTAGATCTGTTTAAAACTAATGTCGGAGTGGCTTAAATTTACCCCACTTATGTGAAACTGCCTTGAATTAAACGGGACGCAATCCTGGCGGCATTAAATGGTTTAAGTGTGTTATTCCTCGACTATAGGAGGCAAAAGAGAGCCCCCCCTTGATTAACTAAACCCTCTCAAATGTGATGGCGTGCTGTAATTAGCCCTGTGCGGACTTGAACGTGGGTTTTAAAGCAGCCACTCATCCCATGGCCTTTATCTTCTGCTGCTTCCCGGAGAATAAGGTCTCCCGTGTAAGGTTCCTCCACTGAGCAGTGACTCTCTGGTCTTAGCTTAGCCTTGTATCTGTGTAGTCACTCTCTGAAATGGGCTTGTCAGGGGGACCTAAAACCTCCATTAAAAGTTTCAGTCTATAATAGGTATTAAAAAGCTGTAGGAACACAAAGAGGAGTACCAATTTTCATTAACATATGAAGCACTTATTAACTTTGATCAGAGTGCGGTGAAGTAGCAAAGCCGCTTAAAGGCGCAAAGGTCAAGAAGTTGAATGCCACCAAAGACTCAGCCATTTGCCTTACCCTTGCAGAAAAGGGACTCCCCAGATAAGTGCGTGGAGCACCTTGACGTCCCATCTTGGTCTGAGGCTCAGGAACCTCAAAATTAGGTGACGGTTGACTCCCTGACCTGTTTAGTTAATAGTGCTGTGGCTCTCACTGGGTTTTGGCCCTTTCATTGATTTAGCTTGTAAGGTGCTGTTGGCATCTCTCTCTCTCTCACACACGTGCACACACACACACACACACACACACACAAGGGCCTGTTAGCTTGACATTGGCAACAGAAATGACAAAAATGCTTTTAGGATCATCTTTTTTTTTCTTCTTCAGACAAACAGTAGAAATGATTAGTCCTGCATCAGTGCTTCCTAAGCCCTCTGACTTATGACCCATTTAAACACAGCATTGTCCTTTTGTTAGGCCTCACCAGTGGTCGCACATGTCCAGTTTAACAAAGGAAGGAGTGATTTTATTATTTTGTTTTTGGAGTCAAAAAAAGTTCAAACAGACAGAATCTATTAAAATAAAGGTAAATTTGTATATCAAGGTTTCACATCATCCCAGGTAATTACTCCAATCCAATGCCTCTATTAGACAGCTTCATTCAATACTCTGCAAGTTAATGTTTTATTTTGGATACACAATTCAGTGATCAAGAATTAAAATACAGTGCTTTATCACTGATGGGACTATCCAGCTGCACATGAAGTACTCAAGTTAGACCTATTTTGACCAGCTACACAATTTAATCCCTCGCATAATGCGTCATGATCGTCAGTAATGGGCAGCCCTGAATCGTGTGGATATACGGTTACAGGTATGAGCAGCCCCCTGTCAGTTCAGCTCAGAATAATGTCTCTGAAAATGAACAAGCTTGGTGGAATAGTAGCACCCCAGAGAGACTGAACACTGTTTTTAATATACATGGCATTTTAGAGGGGGTCTGCCTCCCTTTCAAGACTTCTATGAGGAAGGGGGAAAGGCACACATCTAAAGAAATAACCTTGGCTTTCCCTTGCTATTAAACAAGAATTTTTACCTCAAACAACCTCTCCTGCTCGGTCAATTTCACATTTATGGAGCTGTGCTTGTGAAGAACCCCACAGATGAACACGCTCGCTCCCACAGAAAAGATTTATACTCTATTGACACACCTGGCTCCATAATTGTGAGAAAGATACCTTTTTTTTATATACACTGAGTGGCATCTTTTTTTACTGAAATTGTGAAATTTCACCTTGCTGTTTCACCCCCTCTTTTATTGTTGGCTATCTGTGAAGTTCAGCACAGGGTGTTGCCACAAGCTGTTCCCTCTGAGCGTTCCAAGTGTTTGTCTGATGACAAATGACTTCCTTACTTAGCACTGACAGTAAATTTACATGTCATTTCACGTGTCTCATTTCCTCGACGTAAAACAGCTTTTCGTGAAGTTACATTACACGAGGGTTGTTTTTTTTTGGGGGGTTTTCAGTTCGTTTCTGAGGTTGTTGCGGGTGTCAAGATACATCAAGTTAAACGTGAAAATTTGCACTCTTTTGTGCCGTTCTCCTCGAATTACAGAAACAATGTGGGCAGAAATATTCTATCACAGCTGAAGTGAAAAGTGAAAGCAAAGGACTTAACACGGTAAATAATTAAAAAAAATACACCTTGAACTTTCAAATAACCTCTCGGTGAGTAATTTGACTTGCGGCAGCCACAGATGTACAGTAACAAGGAGAAAGTGGCACAATTAATTATTCTTTGTGCGACACAGAAGTAATCTGAATCTCCAGCAACACGGGAGGAAGATCTCCTTGGCTCTTTCACCACAGCTGCCAGTGCCCAGAATGGTAAATGTGGAATTTTAATGCACAGTTGATGCTGGAGAATATGGGGAAATGCTAATTTGTGGTGCGATAAGATGAATCGAGTCATCCCTTTAGCCCCATTTGACTCAGTGGAGGAAATTAATCATTAATGTTTGTTAAGTATGACAATCTAACTGGGCCAGATCTACATGCTCAGAGACTGAGGCAGAGCGAGATAAAGACCCAGGCTGCAGACAGGGAGGAAAACTGCCAGATTCTGTAATGATGGGAATTTATTGGCATTTAAAGAGACAGTGGCAAGGCATTTCACTAATAGCCTCCCTCCATTGGAGTGCTCTGCCTGCCACAAATTGCATGCAATTCAGACCTATTTTTCAGATAGCAGAGAAGTCTTACAGCTATGCTTGACTTTGGTGAAAAAGGTTGCTTCCTTGAATTGACTTTATCTGTATATGTGACGCAATCTGCATCAGCAGCCAAATATGCTATATCAACGATGCTGACGAGGGGGGGGGGCAGGCATAGCCCTCCTGATATTACATTTTGAAAATCATCGCCAAGCTCCAACACCAGGAAGCATGTGATGGGTTTAGAAATGCGACACTGGGTTAAAGTCATCGAGCCCGGGATTTGGTAACCTATAGAACTCTGCAATCCCATAGGAATACTTAAAAATACTTATACACCATCTTGCAGAAATTGTAACCTGTCTCAGGACTCAGTGGTCAGGATTAGAGTGCCCTGAGCTCCTTAAAGTCGCATGCGAGAGATTGACATTTTCAAGGGCTTCCTCGGCAGAGACAATGCTAAAAGGGAGGGAAAAAGCCAATATGACTTTGTTGCTACCTTGCTCGAGGAATTGTTTGTGTAAATCGCCTATAAGCTTATTGACCTGAATGTGTGGCACGCTGCATGTGACTGCGATTTGGCTAGAGAGCTGTCCTTTGATAGAGCAGCGATAGAGCTGATTTTAACAGCTCACTGGCTCCTCTCGCATGCCCGCCAACCCAGAACCCAGCAGGCCGCCTCGCCTCCCCAGCCCTCCCCGTCCCTTCTGTTCTCCTCAGCTTTCTCTCACTCAGCCTCAAGTATATCCATCTGAGCGTGCGGGGAAAGGAACCTAAGCCAGATGTAAATTATGATCTAGGCGATAATGTAGAGGATGATCATTGACAATCTGTCCCCTTTGATAAGACTGCAGAGGGGTTTCAATTCAAATGATGAAACAAAGCAGAGGCTCGATTACTCAGATTGGACCTCGGTGAATGAAATGGAGCACCTCAATCAATCCATTTCCATGTTGTTTTAAAATCCGGGGCGGGGGGGGGATCTCGACATTTCTCTGTATTCCAGGTTTTATCTCACTGACTGTACTGTAAGCAAAGGAGTGCTGCTCCAGCACTGCTTCCTCTGCTCGCCTTTTTTTTCTTCCTAGTGACATTTGTGCAGGAAACTTCATCAAAGCCCTGTGACATTGTTCCCTGTGAGGTTGCCTGGGCGATTGTGTTTAAAATGCACTGCAAACTGTGTTAGATAGAAGGCAGAAAATCCTTAATCACTGCTTAATTAAGGAATCATCTTGTAGCTTCATTTCCCGGGCTGTAATTAAACACTTCCAATACGTTTCGTTACAGGGCTTAACATGTTCGCCTGAGATCAAGGTAGTGCCTTTAATGTTATCTCACCAGCTTTTTTTTTTTTTCTTCAAACTGCGCTCCATTGGAAGGAACTGTTGATATACGCCTTTGTTATCCTCGTCATAATACGAGCCTGGTATGCTAAAGAGGTTCTCCTGGCCCAACAATAAATAGTGGGGGAATTTAGTTGAGTGGGCTCCGTGATAATATACTGGGAGAGAGGAGGAGCAGGGGGAAGAAATTGCCAGCCCAAGCAGACACTTGCATAAGCAAAAGTGGGTCATAATGACCTCATGTACTGTAAGTAGGACATTTCTGCAGACTTCCCTACAGTATCGCTTTTTTTTTCTTCGTGCACACATCTTCTATTTTAGTGGGAGATAGAAAGCTGACATCCTTTTGGCAATGTTTGCCGCTCTCTTTGAAGTGAGCCACGTCAAAAAAAAAGGGAAAAAAAGCTAAACAAGCACAGAGTATGTGCTTGATCTGGAGATTAACCCGACTGAGGATGGCCGGCGCTGGAGTGACGTAGTGTGTGTCCTGTGGCAGTTGTCACTTGAAGGTTGATAACTAAGACTCAGAAATGTGTTTTTTTGGGAACTGTGGGGGGCGAAGAACAGAGGCAGGTGTGGTTACAATATATTCATATTTAGGTTTGCTGCATAAGGTATAGGTTGTCCTGTCGTCATATATTTGTATTTAAATCTACATGCCCTCTCCTGCCCCTGTTTTTCCCTTGTGGTGGCGTGTAGTAAGCCACTGGAGCAATCCAGGCCTGTCCTTGACCATTCACTGTTGGGTTTAAAACATCAAAGGAATGAAAAAGATGGGGTGACAAAAGTGAGAGGAATGTACCTCCACAAACCATCAGCCCCAAGCAGGTTTGCTCTTACCTGCCCGAGTCTGAAGAGACACCAACCACTGCGTCAGCCACATTGGATTTATTTAGAGCACCACACTTGGGGCACCTACTAAGCTCTGATTTATGTGCCTATAAACTTTTGAGTACAAACTGTGCTTACCGTAGACATGCAAAAATAGATTTTCTTTTACAGTAAGTGCGTCTACAGTGAGAGCGTCTAGTCTTTTTCTTTTTTTTGTAAAACAAGGTCTTTAAGCACTTACATCCTGGAGAGAGATACCCAAATATCCCTTAGCATGGTCTGTGTGAGCCTTGGGACTGTAAATCAGCCCCTACATCCTATAACACACATTCTAGCTCCCTCCACAATAGATCAAACGGTAATAAATAGCCACCTCTCTCCCACACATTGCTTTCCTTCCTGTTCCATTGGGCTTCCTCCTGTTCCTGCAAGCACTCATGGGAACTCCTTTTTACATAAAAGTGTGCAGCTGCATGTGGTGAATGCACTTTTACAAAACCATACACGGAAACACACACGTCACATTGTGACACTTAACTGGTACAGGGAGAAGATGTTAAAAAACCAAAGTCTGCATAATGCAACGATTCATTAAATTACGTGTCCAAACATTAAATTTGGAGAGAGTGCTGTTCACTTTGGGTCTTGTGTGCATTGTGGGACTTAAAGTGCTTTTTTCCCTCTTTTACTTACAGGAGAGGAAGATGGCAATCGAGAGGCAGGAGAGTCGGAGATGGATGGGCAGGGGGAGAAGAGCAGGCACGCTGCCATGGGGCCAGAGGAATGGGATGGTCCAAGTAAGAAAAGCACGAGTATTACTTTACAAGACAGGCTTTCGGGGGTCATTTGATAAAGTTATTGTTGAGTAACTGAAAGGCATGCGGTGTAGTTCGAGGGAAGGTGATAAAGGGGATAAAATATTATTGTTTCTAAAAATGATTGCCTTGTATAGTAACTATATAGCTACACAATCGTGTCAGAAGTCTGCTGCTCGCTTGAAATGTACGTGAAGCCACCATTCGGTTAACAGTAAATTAAATTGTCGACAACTGCTTCCTTAAAGACATTTTTTTTAAAGAACTGAATAATGCAATGCAGACGCAGCTTTTGAAGAGTTTACAACACATTTTTTTTATCTTGTTTGCCCTTTTAGTAAAAGTAACTTCATCAAAATGATGGATAATACATTGAACAAGATAGTTGCACGGCAATTACTGCTCAGCAATAGCCTGCGCCCGCACTGCTGAACACACAAAATGTGATTCCTTTTAATGCATAAAATGACCTCAAGAATTTATTGCAGGTACATGCATTTTGGGGGGGGGAGAGAGAGAAAAGAAAGGGAGAGCGGGAGAAAAAAGTGGATTTGGGCAAGTTGTGCTTGCTAGCTCGAAGCCCCCCGGGGTGTGTATTTTATACTGACAGTGAATCAGTGTTATCGCACCTATCAGATAATGCATTTATCATTAAATTTCACATTTGCATTTAAATCTGGGGAAGGAAATGAGCATTGCTGGCTAAAGATAAGAGCGCCGGGACGACAGTAATAAACCATCACTGTGATCAGTCAGGAGACAGGGCTGAGGGGGTCAGCTCAGAACTATGGGGGCCATGACAAAAAGAAGGCATCACATGCAGAGGAAAAAAAAGGCCCCCTTTTTTGGCAAGAAATGCTGAGCTTAAAAATACTGCTTTGAAAAGGAGGGATGGATGTAGCATGACTGGATGTATGACTGACTGTAATTATGCTTTCCCCCTTCTACTTAGCCATCAGAATGAGAATTAGAGGCTCAGAAACACACTGCTGGACAGGCAGTGGGGAGGGAGAGGAGGGGGACTTGAAGTAAACTTTCTCTTTGCATACAGCGAGGACAGCTGAACTGCAGGGGAAGTGATGTGAGACATGATGCCCATTTCATGTTTTGCTAAACCGCAGCATGAGTGGTTCCAACTTATCAGAGGACTTGGACACTTGTGGCCCAATCTCTGCTGTATTGCTGCCGGAAAAATGACACTTAGCACCTGGCTGCACCCAACTTTAAGCAAACAAGCTTTTATATTGTAGCGTATTGTGTGCGCTTCGCAGCCGGGTCATCGGTTTATAATCATCTTGTTTTTGACATCTCTATGATACACCTACCAATTAATGAGCGACTAAGGCACCCGTGCCCCCCTCGTGTGTTTTCTCAATGGGCACTGTGGAGTAGACCGAAATTAATCTTGGCGCATAATAATGCCATTCACTCTTTCATCATGGCTGCCATGAAAGGTCATTTCCCTTTTTAATTTTTCCCATTGTGCTGGAAAAGTCAGATGGGCATGTTATAATTTGAATAAAGAGGGGGAATCAGACAATCAGATAGGGACATTCGAAATGACATGACTTCCTGTTGGAAGCGATTAAAAGCAAATTTATTTAGTTTGTAGACTGTCTCCCCTTTAATCTCTTTGTAAATGTTCAGATAGTTGAGCATTCAAAAGTTCTTTGTTATTCTTTGGCTTAAGTTTAAGCAGCTGTGATTATGATCACCAACAGATAATTTTTAATCACTGCGCGTGTGCATCTGAATAGGACGTGTAATGGCCATTACATAAAAAGAGAGTGAAGCCTTTTAATGAGGTGGGCTAACTCGGAACATGCCCACCTGCTTTGGTGATTCTATTGAAGCACCTCCATACCATTTCCCTTTTGCTGAGTAACAACAAAAGCCTTTACAATCTACATCCTGTAATTGAACTTTTTTCTTTCTTTTTTTTTGTCCCTGCATTTCATCTCCACTTTAGTAACTCATGTCAAGTGCTGTCCACGATTGGCCCCTGTTCTCTGATTGTCTTTCTGTCTGGAACAGCAGAGAAGCGTACTGAATGACTCACTATTAATCTGATAGCTGGCTCTTCTCTGTTGTTCAGAGTGCTGGGTCTCTGATGTGGAACACCCAGCGAGTTCCCTTTCTCTCCCCTCATCTCTACAAGTATGTCCTTAAGCAAATCTGCACACTGATCTTCTGTCTCGTGTTCATTTCTCGTCACGGGTGTTTCGCAATCAGCCGCTGATTTGCCAGATAGCGTGTCATGCTATTCTATTCATTTTCATGGACTGCCTGTGATAGGAATCTGACTCCGTCTCTCTCGATTCTCTCCCGCTTGCTCTCCTCTAGGCTAATTGGGAATGGTGTGTGTTAGCTAGCTAACTCTGCTAATGAACTTGTTCTCATCCTTATCTAAATGCCTTCTCATGTAAACCACACCCCGCTTTGGAAAGTGAAGAAAATCCAGGGTTCGTTAAGAGTGCTGTAATTGTGTTCGCTGCAGTTTCAGCTCAAGTGTCTAGTCTGTGTGTGCATTTGTTAGGTTACGCTGTGGACCTCTAAATTTAAGAATTAAAGCTAATATGTAGCTGAAGAAGCAGCACATACTCAGATACGGCACTGTGTTGTCCACTGCTAATAGGATGTGGTTTGCCTTCACAGCTTATTATGCTGCCCAAATGCAAATAAATACAGTGTGCACATGCAGTGTGATGTGTGTGCTAACAAGTTTCATTGTATTTTATTTCTGTAGTGATACAGTGGAAAGCATTTCCATTGATCACAATCTTTTTGCAGATTGAAGCATGATGAATGCCATCTTTTGAACTGATCGTGATTGATTTTAGCATCTACAGGTGGATATCCTCTGATTATAACACGTTGATTAGCGACAAAATTAGCAAGAGTTTCAGACTTGTGCATTTCCCCCCCCCCAAATAACTTTATTGTTTGCCATAGTTTTGCAAATTCTAGCATTGTGCCAAATGATGCATAGCTTACTTTCCACTCGGAATAATTAGTGAAACTGCACAAGAAGCTGTCAAAGTCTAAAAAAATCATCTCCACTGCAAAATTATGACATGGAGTTTTAAAAGGCTAAGAAAGACTTAGCAGCTGCTTAGATTTTAACCTTTTTCTAAAAAATAAAAAAAGTCCCATAAACTGTCCCAGAGTGCAACATTATATCACTGGAATGCCTCAGAGAACTTTAGAAGCAGCATTAAACATGCTAGTGTTTTGAATTGAATTAAGCTGATCTACTGTAGCTGTCAGTTTGCAGCTAATGTCAACACCCAATTTCCCAAACTGATTAAACTGGATTTGAAGTAGATGTTACTTGCATACAGTGACATCAACATCTAAGGTATCAGCCCTAAAACACACTTAAAATGAGCCACGCTGTAAAGAAGGAGATGCAGAAGGGGCAGATGAGTGTGACAGAGTGGTAACAGAAGTAATGTGATCACCTTGTCCACAAATCTCTTCTCTTGGCTTGTCCCTGACGGCCGGCATGGCCCAGCTTGCTCAGCTGCTGATGCCAGCTGGGCATCAGCCAGGGCGAGGCAGGGGTCAGCTGAAGGAGTGGCCATCTGAGAATCTACCTGACAGTGGGACACACACACACACACACACACACACACACACACACACACACACACACACACACACACACACACACACACACTTCACCCTGAAAAAAGATATCCATTTATATCCACCCCCTTCTTTTCTCCTTTCAAGACATCAAACATGCACATGCTGAAAACGCAGCCTCACTCAGATGTAAAAAGTCTCGAGTCTCATTTTTGACTCCAGCCAACCTAGAACGGTCTGTGGCCAATCCATCTTCTTCCAGTCGCCAAAGGAAAAAAAAGGAAAAAAAAAACAATAACCATTTCAGGTTTAATGCACATATGTCATGCTAGGAGAATTGGAGGACCAGATGGCCACGATACTGTGGCAGGTGCCTCAACAAATGTTTGCGATTGCCCGTGCTGCTATTTATATCGTGGTGAAACACAGACATGCAAATATTTGCAAAAGGACAGTGGGCCCTTTTTTGTTGGGAGACAAAGTGATCATGAAAATAAACAGATGGGATGAAACCTTTTGGGCATCAGTCACATGAACTTGGACATTCCCTTGGTTCATCTGAAGAAACTTTGTGGAAAAATTGACCAAAAAAAAAAGATAAAATGAAGATGAAGCGGTGACAGTTATATCTAGACCAGGGGTGTCCAACATAAGGCCCAGGGGCCACAATCAGCCTGGCAAATACTCTGGCTCTGGATAAAGGGAAGGATAAATTTTGGACTTTTATATTTATAAATTTTACAACTTGTCATGCTGATAAAGATCTCACCTAGAGCCATTCATACTGTAGTAATAAAATAATAGATAATCAGTTAAATGGCAGAAAAGTACTACAGGAATATCTGTTTTTTTAAGAACGTGTCCACAATAAAGTCAATAATAAATATGGGACATTTTCTGTGGTTTGCAAAAAAAACTTTCCTCCAATTACAGGATGGTCTGGAATATAAGCACGTTTATTTCTTACAGTTTAAGCCCAAAGAGCCGTTCTTCATTTACTAGAACAGCATTTCTTTATCACATTGAAAAACAGAAACATGTTGAACTGAGGAAAGTGTAGTAATTACTCTTCTTTTTCTTATATTGACAAATTTAGGCATTAAGTCTTTACGCTAATAGAAAGGGGATTTTTTTACTTGCCGAGCCCACTTAAGGTCAAAGTGGGTCATATGTGGTGTGGACCACAATGTGAAATGTTTGAGATTACTGAGCTCGGTGACCAGATCTTGGCATTATAGCTGCAGAATCCTTTCACCATTCAGTCCCAGCTGAACTGAAAGTAAACCCAAACTATGTAGCACTTAAAAGTACAGATCGACTAAGAAAAACAACTTTTAAATTCTTACACAGCAACAGTCAGTTTGAGCACAGTTCAGTCAGGTCGCTCTGAGTAA